TGTATTTGTATTTCAATTCCAAATTGAATACTTGTTAGCTATAGCATTCCATATGCCATCTTTAGAATAGCCGAGCCTGCTATAGTTGCATTTTTGTATGTGTTGCATTAGGCATTTCTGTATATTTAAGATCATGCATGGATTTCTAACATAGCTTCTGTTTTGGCTAGGAATACTCGGTAAGTTTTTATGCTTTAGCATCCTTGCATGCGTGTGAGTGACTGCCATGATAGCATGCTTACCATGAGGCTATCTGCTTATGTGATATATCTGCCAGAATGCATGTGGGTGAAGGTTGGGTTATTTGGATTGGAACAATTCATCAACTGTGAGTTTTAAGCGCACTAGATAGTGGCAAAATCATATTTTCTAAAGCTCACCCGGGGGTGGCAAATCCACGTCTTAGCTTACTTGCGGGTAGCACCATCAAACCATTTTCAAAATAAACAAACATGAAATGTTTTGTTCCAATTCAGGCAATCCAATCTATACTTGTATGCTGTGCGCATCACATAGTAAATCTAGGCTAACAACCGGAATAAGAACACGTAATGTTTTCAAAACTAGATATCATGGTTAGTAGAGGCCGATCTTTGATCGGGCGAGCGGGGGTGCTCACGAAGTGACCTTCCCCAATCGTACCCAAGTTCCCGAGCCGAGGCAACTTTGGTGATGACGGACACGTGGCCTTAGGCAACGAGTCAGGGTTTCCTAAATTTCCCAAAAATAAAATATTTAGGTGGAGACTCTGTATCTGGTAAAGCAGTCCATGTTTGACACTTCTTTCAAAAGAATCTGTTTTTTCAAAACGATTTGCCGGATTTGGACTCTTTGGTTCAGATTAAGAACCGTGACAATTTGAGAGTCCGAACTGTAGTGAGCCCAAATGAGCAGAACGGGACTCATCCTCCTGGGGCGTTCGGGGACGTCTACACACCCACAACGAACATGTTGGATGTTCATCAGTTCCGGATAACATGCCCGCCGCTGGAGATGGAGGAGAAAATCTGGACGATGGCCTCATGGTTGGAGATACGGATGTGGATATGAGGAGAGTTTGCGTTTGCATCCGTGACCATTTATTTTATATACACAATCAAGGACTATTGTGAAATCGTTGTTTTTAATTCGAAATTTGTTGTACGATGTCATAATTTGACCCACGTAGCATGACTTTTAATTATGGACGCAAATTTGTTGCAAAAACTGTAAGAATCGTTACGGACTTAAATTATGGGAAACGATATTGTTCTATGTTTTTATATTACTTTGTAATTCGTAATTTTTATAAGTAAAAGTCATATTTCGTAGGGAATTACGATTTGCATGTAAATTCATAAATTTTAGAATGAAAAGTCAAGTTTCTTAAAAATTTGAAAATGTTTGTAATTCGTAAATTTTATATCTGTAAGTCAGGTTTCTTAGACATTTGTAATTTACTTTAGCTCGTAAATTTAAGAATTAAAAGTTAAATTTAATACAAAGTTGTATTTTTTTTATATTCGTAATTTGTATAATTCAAAGTCAACTTTTTTCAAATTTGAACCTAATGCAAAGTTCAAAAGTTGATGCAAAGTCAAATTTCTTACAAAAATAGTAATTATTTTTTTTTTATCTAGTTTGCAATTTCTATACTGAAAATTTGGAATTTTTTTTTTTGGCTACTTGTAAATTATTTGCATTTGTCATTTTTAAACATTAACAGTCAAATTTCTAACAAGTTGCCAATTTAATAATTTAATTTGTAATTTTTAAACATTAAAAGTAAAATTTCTTACAAATTTGTCATTAATTGTAATTCATAATTTCTATAATTAAAAGTCAAAGTTCTAGGAAATTTGACTAATAATTTTATTTTCATTTGTAATTTATGTAAGAACAATTGAAATTTGCTACAATTTTGTAATTTTCCTAATTCCTAAATTTTATATTTAAAATTCAAATGTTGCCCAAATTTGTAATTTATTTTAATTCATAGTTTTAGAATTAAAAGTCAAATTTGTTAGAAATTTGTCATTTTTTAAATTCTTATTTTACAATTACAAGTAAATTAGCTTACAAATAAATAATGCTATATGCACCAATTCATATACCAATTAATGTACTGACAGATGGTTAGTAATAATTTTAAAAATTTTGGGTATTTATAATTTGTATAATTAGTGAGGTCAGTAATAATTTCATAAGGTATGTTGGTATACTAGTTAGTATACCAATTGCATACAAATTTGTAAATTTACTTTTAATTCCTAATATATAGATTGTGAATTTCTTACAAACAAATATTTGTATAATAATAAATTGTACAAGTAGCCGTTGGAAGTGTCCTCACTGGCAATTCAGCAATAACAATTATTATTATTATTATTATATATTTTTGTCTTTTGTCTTTAGGGGTACTTTGATCATTTGGTATCACATCATCATTTCAAACACATTTTCTACTATAATAATCCAACAAAAAAATTCACCCCATCTTTCCAAACATAAAAACTAAAATAGCCAAATAGGCAAATAGCCAAAAAGTCTAAAAAATAGTCACTTCCCAAACACCCACTTATATAAATATACCATCCCTGCTTTATTCATTTAAAGAAACACATTTACACACTTATATATAAAAAAAAAGAAGTAAGATTGATAAATTTATTACTGTATCAATATTTATCAAATCAGTTAATCACTTACTCTCTTTCACTATCACACTTGCATACATGCACACTCCCTCACTCACTTATTCATTCAAAAAAGTAAATTCATATACGTACATATAGAAAATAGTTTTCTCAGTGATAAATTTATCACTGACACAAATTTCTTCAAACATTGGTTTACAAGCAATTGACAGAGAGAATAAGAAAAAGAGGTGTGATCTGAAAAATCTCTGTATCTTTCATCATTATCATTATCATCATCACCATCATCATCATCATCATCATCTTACAAATTCAAAACAAAACCAAAAAAATAAAATAAAATAAAATGCTAAAAACCAAACCCAAACAAAATCAAATTAAAAAGCAAAAAATCTCTAACCGAGAAGATTTTTTAGATCTCTTGATGATTGTTGATGTTTTTCTAGAGGATCTTTGATGATAGAGTATAAATTGGTGATGGTGGAGTGTAGATCAGAAAAGTTAAAATGTAGATCAGAGATATAAAGTGTAGTCGCAGAAGATAGAGTGTAGATCGATGATAGTGGTGGTAGATTGATGACGATAGAGAATGAAGAGGAATTTGTATCATTTCAAATCCCTATTCTTATCAAAGAGAAGGAACGAGAAAAACTAAAATATTCCTACTCGAACAATAAGTCCCTAAACCCACTACATACCAGACCATCGGGTGGCTCGCCTAAATGCCAAGTATTTCTTCGCCACCAACTTGATGTTATCGTCACCTGCAAGATAAAGTGTAGATTGACAATGATAAAGTGTAGATCGAAGATAGTAAAGTGTAGAACTACGATAGTGAAGGTGGTTGGTGACTGGTGGTAGTGGCAGCCAGTGGCGGTGGTACCGATGACGGCCGACAGTGGATGGTGGCAGTAGGTGTGGTGACGGTGTGTGATGATGGTGTAAGTTTCAGAAATTGTTGAGAGATGAAAGATGAAAAAGAGAAAGAGAGAGAAAAAGAATAAGTGAGAAAGAGAGTTGAGAGAAAACAAAAAGATCTGGAAAATATTAGGGAGAAGAGAAGAGAAGAGATTTGATGAGGATAATATGAATAGTTGAAGAGTTATTAATATTAATACATTTAAAAGGTTAATAAAATTTAATAATAATTAAGTTCACGTTACGGGACTGTTTGTAAAAAACCCTAAATTATTCCTAAAAAAATGTTGTGTAGGCTTATTAATGGATTTAAACCGTCACCTAACGTAGTTACGTTGTATTTGATTGGGGGATTTGGAGAGGAATTTGGAAAAGGAAAGGAAAAATGTATGAAATTAGGTGAAATGTAAGTATATTTTATTCATATTTCACATTTCACATTTCACAGAGAGAATAAGAAAAAGAAGTGCGATATGAAAAATCTCTGTATCTTTCATCATTATCATCATCATCATCATCTTACAAATTCAAAACAAAACCCCAAAAAAAAAAAAAATGCTAAAAACCAACCCAAACAAAACCAAATTAAAAAGCAAAAAATCTCTAACCGGGAAGATTTGTTAGATCCCAGATGATTGTCGAAGTTGTTCTAGAGGATCATTGATGATAAAATATAAATTGATGATGGTGGAGTGTAGATTGGAAAAGAAAAATTGTAGATCAGAGATATAAAGCGTAGTCAGAGAAGATAGAGTGTAGATCGATGATGGTGGTGGTAGATCGATAAAGGTGGTAGGATATCGGCGATGGTGGTTGTAGATTGAAAATGATTAAGTGTAGATCGGAGATAGTAGAGTGTAGATTTACGATAGTGAAAGCGGTTGGTGACCGGTGGGAGTGGTGACGACGATGACTGGCTATGGATAGTGGCAGTAGATGTGGTGATGGTGTGTGGTGGTGATGGTGTGTGGTGGTGATGGTGTGTGGTGGTGATGGTGTGTGGTGGTGATGGTGTGTGGTGGTGAGAGAGAGAGGGAGTTGAGAGAAAGCAAAAAGATTTGAGAAATATTAGAGAGAGAAAAGAAAAAAAGAGAAGAGATTTAATGAGGATAATATAAACCATTGAAGAGTTATTAATACATTTAAATGGACGATAAAATTTAATAATAATTAAGGAATGTTTTGGGAAGTTAGTTAAAAGTTGACTTTTTAAATTTTTTTTGACTTTTTTTTTAATCTTTATATAGATAAAAAATATAAAAAATAATATGACCTCAAATAAACTAAAAATAAAAAATTAACTTTTAACTAGTTTGCTAAATAATCCCTAATTTCACTTTAGGGACTGGCCCTAAAAAACCCTAAATTATTCCTCAACAAAGGTGGTGTAGGCTTATTAATGGATTTAAACCGGTTGAACAATAAGACCCGACCCGTTAGACACCCAACGTGCTTGGGGGTTTCTCCGTTAGGGTTTATGAGAGAGAGTGAGTTCTGTGATTTCGTGTGGTTCTCTCTCGCACTCTTTCTCTACTTCAATGGTCGATTTATAAAAGTTCTTCCTTCACTCTCAGAAACGTATTAGCTTCTTCGATTCACTCTCGGGTATGTATGCATTTATATATATATATATATAAACGTATTAGCTTCTCGGAAGATTTTCTTTTTGGGAGTGTGATTTGTTTTGTGTGTATTTACTTGTGCTTGCTCATCCACTTTATTTTATTAGTTTGTTTTTTTGGGTGAAATGGTTTGTTCTGGCTTCTGAGTCTTGAATTCTGGACCGTCAGATCAGATTATATATTTTTTGCTTCTAAACCCTAATCTTCTCTTCTCTCAGCAGCCTTTTCTCTCACTCTCGTTCTCTCGCTCTCTCATCTGTGTGTGTGTGTGTGTGTGTCGCGACCGGCAATCGGCAGTGCGCGGCCGCCGGCGGCTGCAACACCTTCGGCAAGGAGCAGAGTAGCCTCTCATCTCTCTCACTCGTTAAGGTCAGTTCGCCTCCTTCTTTCCTTTGGTTCTGTCATGAAAGCAAAGAAAGAGTTGATTCGATCAAAATCTTTTATTTTATCCAAAAAAAAGTTGATTCGGATCAAGGATCACTGGGAAGGTCTCAAATTTCAGAATTTCGGACAAATTGGACCAGGGCACTGATTGTGGATTGAGGAGGGCAAGTTTAGTTTATTTTAGGGTTTAGTTGGATTGACTCTCTAATTGTAGGTAACACAGTTTTGGGTTTTTGCTGTTATTGAGTGTTTGATCTTCATTGGGGAATGTTCTAAGGTAATAGTTTATTAATTATTTATGTTTTTGAATGATGTGGACAATACACAAGTCTAAAAAAGATTACGTAAAGAATAAAAATTAACAAAGAATTTCATTTTTCAAATTTGCTCATAATATATAGCTTAGAATTATTTATGTTCATTTTTTTGTGGCCCAAAAGAATATTTAGCAAATGGGGGGAAAGGCCCAAAAATAAATTTTATAAGGAAAAAGTGCAATCCACAAACTGCTCGCGAACCCTACTTGCACAAACCGTAAACTATACTATGGGCGATTGTAGGTTCACTTTTCCCAAACCGCAGGCCATTGGACTCATGGGTCCAACCAGCAGTTCGAACCGCTCAAAACCAATCCGTGAGCACCCAGTGTTTTATGTAATTAGGAACTTAATTTATGGGTTTTAATTGGCTTTGATTTCTAATTTAGCTTCTTGTTATGTCTATCTAGTCATTTTGGATGGTTAGTTTTTTAGCTGTAATTGTGATAGTTATATGTATGATGCTTATGTAATTGTGATAGTTGGGGTTTTGTGCATTATAGGTACGATGCTTCTATAATTGTGATAGCTGTCTAAGAACTCTGGAAGTATATTTCTAGCTGAATTTTCATATCCTGTTTTATGTATGTTTCTCAAAATTCTTGATTTTATTGAGGAACCTAATTTATGGATTTTAATTCCTAATTTAGCTTTTTGTTTTGGGCGGTTAGTTTTTGAGCTGTACTGGGTTCTAAATTCCAATTGGTGGATTTTTGAAGAATACCCATTATTATTGATGTGTTATTTAATTGGGTAAATTACACTTTAACCCCCTGTGGTTTGCCCAAAAAATACGGAGCCTCCCTGTAGTCTTATTTGTAACAATTAAACCCCCTAAACTTAATACCAAACTATAATTTCGGTCGGACGTAACTGAAGTAATAAAAAGTCATAAATGCCCCTAGATATTTTACACTCAGTCTTTTCATTTGTATTGCTTCGTGTATCTCTCTCTTTCTCTCTCTCTCTCTCATTGTGACCACCATCATCACCACCGCCTTTCAACACAAAATCCATCTTCACCCATTTTCACAACCAAGTTCTATAACCACTACCATCAAGCTCCACGACCATCATCACCGCGAGCTTCGTCGTCATTACTGGACCGTCATGACCACCATTGCCCAGCTTTGTCAAAACCAAGAACCACCCTTCACAAAGAGCTATAGATGAAGCAGTAGAAGAGGGAGGATGACGAAAAAGAAAGAAATAGATTTGGAGATATTTCTTTGGAATGTGTGAAGTTGGTTTTCGGACAAATTTCGGTATGTCGAAACTACCCATTTGAGGAAGACTACAGGGAGGCTCCGTTAAGAATGAAGTATGAAGCAAGGTGAAGAGATTGGTGAAAGAACGGGGTAAAACCGTTAAGAATCGAGAAAATTATGGAGTCTGAAAGATGGGTTGAAGAAATGTCGGAAATGGGAAGAAAAATCTTATTTTTGGTCAACTTTCAAAGATTCGAAAGCATGTGAAAAGAAGCGGAATGAGGCATGTGAGGAGTGATACGAAAATTAGGCCGTAAGGTGAATCCAACGACGCAAAAATGAGGCAAAACGGAGTTATGACGAAGTAGATATAAGGGGTTGAAGTGGTGTGTTTGAATATGAAAATCTGATATGTTTTGGTATGTTCGTGCGTGCATGCGATTTGGAGAAGATAAAGTGGGTTTTGTTAGTATGAATTCCATCAATGCTATTTCAAAAATCTAAGACTGTGTTTGGTAAAACTTTCCAAAACTAAGGTCGTGTTTGGTATAGCTTTCAAATTATAATTCTACCCCTACATTCCAATTCTATATTTGGTTGAAGTTTTCAAAAATTAATCCCAATGTCTCATTTGAAAACACATTCCAATGCATATTTGGCAGTGTGGGCTTTTGATTTTTGAATTTGCTCTTTGGGTCGTCCTCCCGGACATCCCCCCTAATGTCCGGCCGATTGACCGAAACAGTACTCTGCTATTTGGAAAAAAAAAATATTTGTTTTTGATATTTTTTAAATATAAAAATTATTTTTTTAGACTAAAATGACAAATTATTTTTTTTTAAATTGAATTTTAAAAAGAGTTTGGTTATGAATTTTGAATAGAATTTTCAATAGAGTTTTGAGTTGTGTATTTAGTTATGAGTTATAAGTTTTTGAATTAAGTTTTTAAAACTCTTTTCAAAACTCATAACCAAACAATTTTTTTCATTTCATATGTCACATTAAAAATTTAAAACTCAATTGAAAACTTTTTTCAAAACTCATAACCAAACAAATTTTCTCTTTTCAAAATATAATTTCAAAACTCACAAATTCAAAATACAACTCTATTCTCAAATCATAATTCTAAAATTTCACCAAACGCAACCTAATTCTACCCTTACATTCTATTCCTATTTTTTATAAGAGTTTTCAAATTATGATTCCAAATCAATTTCAAAACACATTTAGACAACATGTTTGGTAAACCAGACATTTTTTGAATTTTTGGTCTACTCGGTCGTCCACCCAGACATCCTCCTAGATGTCTGGCCGGTTGACCGGAACAATACAATTGTGTCGGTTAACCGGAACAACTTTTCTCATTTCATATGTCACATCAAAAATTCAAAACTCAATTCAACACTAAATTCAAAACTCTTTTCAAAACTCATAACCAAACAAATTTTCTCTTTTTAAATCATAATTCCAAAACTCATAAACTCAAAATACAACTCTATTATCAAATCATAATTCTAAAACCCTACCAAATGCTACCTAAATGTTTACACTTGTTAATTGTTGAACTCCATGGATTGGGTTCGTTACTAATTTGAATCATAAGGAGAAAGTATAATTTTTAGAGAGAGAAGTGGTGATGATAAGAAATATAAGAAGAAAAGAGAAAGTGAGTTTGAACTATTTTGTAGAGAGCGCAAAAATGGTGTTGGTATTGGTGGTGATGTTGGTTGGTTGTTGTTTCACATGGAAGGTGATGGTGGTGATGTTGGTTGGTTGTGATTTTCCATGGAAGGTAATGGTAGTGAGATGAGAGCAGAAATAAAAGGTGATGGTGGTGGGTTTGCATGGAAGGTGATGGTGCTGCATATTTATATAATGGGGGAGAAAGAAGGGGTGTTTTGGTCCAAGAGTGTAACGTTTTTGGTGGGAGAAAGTGCTACATAGCGTTGCACTACACTTTTATGCTCGTGAAACCCATGCTCTGTTTAAAGAAACGGATCTGTTAGAAATTACAGTTTGGTGTTAAGTCTAGGGGTTTAAGTGTATAAATAAAACTATAGGGGGTTCCATGCTTTTTGGGCCAACCGCAGGGAGTTAAAGTGTAATTTACCCTATTTATTTATTTTTGACTTATTTGCTTTAAAATTATTCCTGACTATTTATGGTGCCAATCTTGGATTTCAAGAGACTAACCGTCATTTATAATTATCTTAAGATATTCCTTTCTAATGGAATTCAGTTGTTTTTATTAGATTTCTAGAAATGTTTTATTTTTTCTATTCAAGTCACATATATGAGGCAACCAAAAACCTCAATGATCTTCAAGTACTCTCGTTTTTGACCAATTATTGATGAGTTGATATTTTCTCTTAGCTTTAAAATTTCATGGGAATTTAGTCACTGATCTTCGTATGTTGCTATTTGTTGATATGCAATATCCATTTTGGATTAGCAGAACTAAGACAGAGTACATTGAGTGTAAATTTAGTAACAGTAACAATGAAAGCAGAGGATAAGTGAAGATTGAGAACCAAGAACTGCCTAAGAGATAATATTTTTGTTATCCAGGGTCGATTATCACAATAGCGGGGGAGATTGATGCGGATGTGGCCCATAGGATTAAGGCGGGATGATGTAAGTGGAGAAGTGCGTCTGGGGTACTGTGCGATAAACGAATACCCACTAGATTAAAAGGTAAGTTCTGTAGAATGGCTATTAGATCTGCGATGTTGTATGGGACGGAGTGTTGGGCAACCACGAAATAATATGTAGATACGATGAGTGTAGCTGAGATGAGGATGCTAAGGTGGATGTGTGGCAAGACTAGACAAAACAAAATTAGGAATGAATATATTCGGGAATGGGTAGGAGTAGCACCGATAGAAGATAAGTTGAGAGAGAATCGATTGAGTTGGTTTGGTCATATTTAATGGAGACCAACAGAGGCAGTAGTGAAGAGATGCGATGCTGTAACGGTAGGTGGAAGTGTTAGGGGACGGGGTAGGCCTAGATTAACGTTGACTAGCGTTATAAATAGAGATATGAATCTACTTAATTTGACTAATGAAATGGCCTTTGATAGGGCCGTGTGGAGAAGAAGGATTCATGTAGCTGACCCCATTTGATGGGACTTAAGGCTTGGTTTGGTTTGGTTTGGTTTGGTTTATGACATTGTATATAGATTGAGTATAGGACAACAGTATGTTACATCCAACACTGTGTCCACAAAAGTTAGCATACATGGGCCTCGTTTGGGAAGTGGATATTTTTAGGTTTTTTGGTTATTTTAGTAGGTTATTTTAGTTTGTGTTTGGGAAGATGGGTTGAATTTTTTGTTTGATTGTTGTATTGGAATATGTGTTTGAAATGATGTTGGGATAAAAAATAACCAAATTATCCCTAAAAAGTTGTTGTTGGCATGCTAATGGTTTGGTCATATTTAATGGAGACCAACAGAGGCAGTAGTGAAGAGATGCGATGCTGTAACGGTAGGTGGAAGTGTTAGGGGACAAGGTAGGCTTAGATTAACGTTGGCTAGCGTTGTAAATAGAGATATGAATCTACTTAATTTGACTAAAGAAATGGCCTTTGATACGGCCGCTTGGAGAAGAAGGATTCATATAGCTGATCCCATTTGATAGGACTTAAGGTTTGACCTGGTTTGGTTTGGTTTGGTTTGGTTTATTGCGTTTCAATTGGTCAGTGGTTTGTTTTCAATTGACACCATTGGATTTTGAATTGTTTTTAAATGTAGATTTATCTAAATTTTTTGGAATTTTACAAAATGACTCGAAAACAGGAATTCTTTTTTCTTCAGGGTTTTACAAATTGATTTTTATTGAAGCAATACAATTAATGTTCCAAAATTTTGTTTTTACATATAATTTGAAAGTTTGATGGTTTTACTTTCAATCAAAACATGAAAGTGTACCGTCATTTTGACCTGTATGCCATGTGTTTGAAACTCTGACAGTATGAGTCAATTACAGAACCTTGCAAAATGAATGCTACTTTTGCTAGCCAACACCAGAAAATAAAATGAATTTTTTATTCAAGTAAAAAGTTTTACATGGAAAAATACTTCAGTGTAAAATTCCTTACATCGAGAATTTAATGCATTTTTTAAAAACATTACCCTTCTGTACCATACAAAACCTAACACATGTACGCACACACAAATAGACATGTATATCACATGAATCAAATGGGACAGAAATAGCTTTTGTATCATATAAGTTCATTTTGATAATCTGGATTTTACAGTGATCTTTCTTGTCATAAGATAAGACACTATTTGTTAATAGAGAAGATACCCTGGGAATATCCTTGGATTTATTGCTTCATTATTAAGGTATCAACTGTCTCTGCAACTGTATAAGCTTCCAGAAGATGCTTGATTTTACATGAAATGCAGATTTTCAAATTGGAAAGTGGAAAGCTTTTCTTTCAACACAACGAGGAAAAGAAAGTTTGCGAAAAAGTAACCAGGAGCTCTTTTGATGTGGTAAGGATGTCAATAGTCGTAGAAAAAGCAGCGGAAGAAGGGGCTGTGATAGTTGAAGAAATTGAAGATGAAGAAGAAGAGGAAGACCTTTCATGGTCATCAGACTCTGAAATTGGAGACGTGTTGGACTACTTGGACTCCAAGGATGATGATGAAGCCGTAGAGGGAGCTTTTACTCTCCAAACAAGGCGTCCCAATGCTCATGGAGGACTTCATTCTCGCCCCAATACATCTTCGCTTCAGCCTCTCTCAAATCGGAACCAAAAGTTCTCAAATCACATCAGAGCTTCTCCTTTAGAGGTATACAAATACCTACTTGTTCATTAATAACTCTCCATATGTTTTGCAGGAGCTCTATTTTGGTGTTGAGAAAATGTAAGAGAAGAAAAGAAATTATAATCCTTTAACCTTAGAATCCTCATTCTTTATCACAGGAAAATAGAAACTTCCAGTTAATTGTGGTTTGTAAACTGTTTGGTGTAGTGGAGGTGAGCTTCCTATTTTTTATAACTGGAAAGACGCAAGGCTTGCTTTTTGAAAATTTGTTTAATCTTGTTTTCCTTACTCCTACTAGCAACCAATTGGAGGGCTAGGATATTGATTTATCTCAAACTTGAGTATAGGTGAGTATCATTTTAGAGTTCCCACTACAACTTAGCATTTATAGTCTGGTATGCTTATTAATTTTTGAGGAACAATTCAAAGTCTAGAAAGGTTGTCGAAGGAGTTATTTTCTGAAAGGTGGTTAAAATATGTTATGCAAATAGTTTTACATGGATCTGTTGAAACAGTGTGATAGATTCTGTAGGCACCAATGGAGTTAATATCTTTATTTATTTAATTTTATTTGCCGTTGTTACGATTGAGTTGGTAATTCTGATCTATTATGCCCCTAGTTATTGGGAGCAAGTCACATGGATAATAGCAATTTTTGATATTGCTATTTTAATTTTACTTCATGAGTGTGTGTTTACTTCAGTGTATTGTGGCTTCTTACAAGTTACTTGATGGTGCAGGAGTGGGAGGGGAGGCTGGATGTGGGCATGTCTAACTCTGTGACAACTGCAATTCGTGGAAGTGTTCGGGAGATGGCCATTGGTAAAACTAGAACTACAGAGAAAGCAGACCGTGCAACCGTTGAGCAGGTTAATAACAATTGATGCCATTTGCATCCTTCATTCCTATACAATCATATGATCTCAATCTGACTTCTTAATTTTCTTTTTTTCTTTTTTGGGATTGTAATTTTTTTTCTTTTGTTTTTAACAATTATCACTGTTAGGCTGATTATATTTTGTGTAATTATTTGATTTATCATCCTTGCATCTGTTTTTTGTATGCACGATGCATCTACACCCCCGGTGATGAATGTAATGTATTATGTATATATAGATTTTGAATGCTAGGTCGTTACCCTCAAGTGACGTGTTGTGCTTGCCTTCGGATGTTTCGAAAAGTGAGTAAGGGGCGCCGCATCGACACCTGGGTGCGGTGAAAAATGGGCAAAGGTTTCTGCGTTTTTCTGGATAAGTGCGGGTAAAGAAACTAGTTCAAGACTATAGGTTTAGGGTAGCCACTTGGAATATAGGAATCTTAACTGGTAAGACGATGGAGTTGGTAGATGTTATGATTAGAAGGAGAGTTAGTATAGCTTGCGTACAAGAAAACTAAGTGGACGGGTGAGAAGGCTAGGGAAATTGAGGATACCGGTTTTAAACTGTATTATAGTGGTAAGGATAGACGCATGAATCGGGTAGGAATCTTAATTGCCAAGGGTCTTGTGGAGAATGTAGTGGCGGTCATTAGAAAAGGGGATAGGATTATGTTAGTTAAACTAGTTATTGGAGGGAATATAGTGAACGTTATTGGTGCATTGCCCCTCAAGCAAGGTTGTTAAGATCGCGATCCGGATCGTAGGATCGTACGATCCTACGACTCATTATACACTATTCGATCCGGATCGTACATCGGATCGACCCTAGAGCAGGATCGTGGTTGGATCGACAGGATCGGTAGGATCGCATCTGGATCGCGACTCCATGCGATCCAGATTTGAAGCATTTTTTGAACAACTTAAAAGCCAAATCGGGACCTAAAGTGAGAGAAGAGAAGCAAAGCAGATTAGGGCAAACGAAGAAGACTGACTTGGGGAAAGAGAGATTCAAGCATTCAACATCAAACGAAGCTGCTTCCTCTTCCTCAGGTACGCTGCTTCCTCTTCTTCTTCTTCTTCTTCTTCTTCTTCTTCTTCGCTGCGATGCGATGCGACTCCACTCCATGTGTCTGTTGCTCCGTTTTTTTTTCTTCGAATTCGAAGACTCTTCTTTCTTTCTTCACTGATCTCTCCTTTCTTCACTGAATCTCCTTCGGTGATTTTTTTTTTAAAATTTTTTTGGCTCTTATTTATTTATTTATTTATTTATTTTTGGTTCTGATTTATTTATTTATTTATTTTTGGTTCTTTAAATTACCTCTTATTTATTTATTTTTGTTTTGTAAAAAAAATACTAAAAACAACTGAAAAATCATTCTTCATCAATAAAGAAATTTTATTATGTGAATCAACATCTTGATATGATTTGAGCACCTTACTGTTGTAAAGCTCTTTAGATGACCAAGTCATTATCTTATTTATTTATTTATTTATTTCTTTATTGAATCACCTCTTATTTATTTTTTTCCTTCACTAAATCACATTCATTTTGGGGCATTAGTCTTCCACATGCCAACATGCTAAAATATTATTAAATTAAAATTATATTAACATGTTAGGAATTACGATAAATAATTAAGAATTTAGGATGAATTGTGATCTTAAATATATTTAAATTAAAATTAGATTAAAGAGTTAGAAATTACAACAAATAAGCAAATATTTAGGATTAATTTTGATCTAAATTATAATTAAATAAAAATTAAAATAAAAAGTTAAGAATTACAATAAATAATTAAAAATTTATAATTAATTGTGATTAATTGAATTAATATTAGATATTACAAATTATGTATATGAGAGAAGAGAGATAAATAAAATAACAAAAAAAAAAATATAGAATTTGAAAGTATTACAGTCATTTGACCTTTATAATTTTTTATTTTTTTGATAAGTCATTTTACCTTTATAATTAACATTGTATTTTGATTTAAAATCATATAAAAAATTTCTAACTATATTTAAATAATAAGGATGAAATATTGTGACCTCAAATCATATTGTGACCTTTATTTAGTTTGTTTTGTTTTCATTAAGAAACAATGACAATGGTGTGCAAGTGTTGGTATTTGGTTTTATTATGTTTTTGACTTCTTTTTTTGAAAAAAAATGTTTGAATGCTGCATTGAATTGTTATATTTCTTTTTGGGGGGCTTATTCTATATATATTTTGATAGTATTGTTTAGTCATATAAAAATTATTGCATTTTTTATCATTTTAGTAAGATCTTACGATCCTCGATCCGATCCTACGATCCGATCCGACAGACCCCCAAAACGATCTTGCGTAGGATCCCGATCTTAACAACCTTGCCCTCGAGTAGGATTAGATGATCAGACTAAGAGGGTTTTTTGAGAGCAAATGGATGAGATCTTACAAGAGATACCCGTAGCAGAGAACCTGGTTATAGGTGGAGATTTTAATGGCCATGTAGGCATAGATAAACTAGGCTATGAAAGGGTGCATGGTGGATACGGTTTTGGTGATAGAAATGAGGCTGAAGAGAGTATTTTAGATTTTGCGTTAGCTTCTGACCTGGTGGTGGCCAATACTATGTATAAAAAGAGGGAGGAGCATTTGATAATCTTTAAGAGTGGGTCAGTAAAGGATCAAATATATTACTTCTTAGTGAGAAAAGTAGATTGCCTAAAATGCAATGATTGTAAGGTGATTCCTGGAGAGAGCCTGACCTCCCAACATAGGATTTTGGTACTAGATTTATGTTTTAGAGGGCAATACCAAGCTAGGAAGGATGGTGGGCATCGTAGGACGAGATGGTGGGACCTAAAAAGGGTTAAATTAGAAATATTTAAGAATAGAATGGATAAGGTACTTGGGCCTTGGAAGATGATGCTAACACTATGTGGAACTCGATGGCCAATTGTATGAGGAGAATCTCAAGGGAAGTGCTTGGAGAGTCGAAAGGAATAGGACCCAGCTCTAGGGAAACTTGGTGGTGGAGGGAAGAGGTTCAAGCGGTAGTTAAGGCAAAAAAAGAGTGTTTTAAAAAGTGGCAAAATGATAGAATTGAGGAAAACCTTAAGAGTTATAGATTGGCTAATAAGGAGGTAAAAAAAGTAGTGAGAGAGGCTAAGTTGAAAGCTTATGATGATCTATGCACTAAACTAGATGGTAAGGAGGGAGAGAAGGGGTATACAAACTTGCTAAGATGCGTGAGAGGAAAACAAGAGATTTTAATCAAGTTAAGTGCATTAAGAGTGAGGATGATAAGGTGTTGGTGAGGGATGAAGAGATTAAAGAAAGATGGTAGAACTATTTTGAGAAACTATTAAATGCAGAACATGGAGGTACGACAATAGGGGAAGAAATAACCAATAATACGATAAACCAAGACTATAGGTTCTATCGCAGGATTATGAACTTTGAAGTGGAGATTGTACTTAAGAAGATAAAATCAAATAGGACTTTAGGACCAGATGATATCCCTATTGAAGCTTGGAAGTGTTTGGGTAAAAAGGGGGTTGCTTGGTTGACTAGGTTGTTTAGCAAAATTTTATTGACTAGGAACATGCCAGATGAGTGGAGGAAGAGTATTTTAGTTTCAATCTATAAGAATAAATGTGATGTCCATAATTGAAACAACTATAGAGGAATCAAGCTAATGTGTCATGTGGAGAAGTGGTTTGGAAATACTCTCTGAATCCTGTAGGACGCTCTTGATCCTCAGCTAGTCACCTGAAAAGGATTGAACACTCCGGTCGGGGGTGCCGGAATTAGCACTCTGACAGATAAGTCAGTATATACTCTCTTGGTTGCTTATATCTCAAGTTAATCTTACTTGTTCTCACATACCTTTTTTTGGCTGATGCTCCTCTATTTATATTTTTCTTTTGAGCCTCAGGGTCGGGCCCACCCTCAATCCATTGCACGTTTATTTATTCGGCTTTTGTTCAATTGGTTCTTCGGCCGATTAGTCTATTCGGTCTTGCGATTGTCCAGGATGGAGCCGAATACAAATTTCGTCATTGACTGTCCTCATACCGTCATTCGGCTTTATTGCACATATACCAACAATATTCCGGCTCCCATATGTCATATAATGAAAGTGTGGGAGAGGGTGATAGAACGTAGATTGTGAGATATAACGGAGATGTCAGATATTCAATTTGGATTTATGCCTGGCAGGTCAACGATGGAAGCGATCTATCTTTTGAGGAGAGTAATAGAAAAGTATAGAGAAAAGAAAAAAGACATTCATATGGTGTTTATCGACCTTGAGAAAGCATATGATAGATTGCCTCGGGACATAATATGGTGGGTGTTAGCAAAGAAAGGGGTGATAAAAGATTACATTGATGTGATTAGGGACATGTATGAAGGGGTGGTGACCATTATTAGATCGCCTGCTAGAGAGACAAATGAATTTCCTATCATTGTAGGGTTACACCAAGGATCTACCTTAAGTCCTTATCTTTTTGCTTTAGTTATGGATGAGTTGACAAAAAATATCCAGGATGACGTGCCACGTTGTATGCTTTTTGCCGACGATATAGTGTTAGTGGATGGGATTAGAGAATGAGTTAATACAAAGTTGGAGATTTGGAGAAAAGCTCTTGAATCTAAAGGATTCCAGATAAGTAGAACTAAGACAGAGTACATGGAGTGTAAATTCAGTAACAGTAACAATGAAAGCAGAGGAGAAGTGAAGATTAAGAATCAAGAATTGTTTAAGAGTGAACATTTTCGTTATTTAGGGTCGATTATCACAACAACGGGGGAGATTGATGCAGATGTGGCCCATAGGATTAAGGCGGGATGGTGCAAGTGGAGAAGTGCGTCTGGGGTACTGTGCGATAAACAAATACCCACTAGACTTAAAGGTAAGTTCTATAGAATGGCTGTTAGACCAGCGATGTTGTATGGGACGGAGTATTGGGCAACCAAGAAACAACATGTAGATAAGATGAGTGTGGTTGAGAGGAGAATGCTAAGGTGGATGTGTGGCAAGATTAGACAAGATATAATTAGGAATGAGTGTATTCGGGAATGGGTAAGAGTAGCACTGATAGAAGATAAGTTGAGAGAAAATCGATTGAGATGGTTTGGTCACATTTAACGGAGATTAACAGATGCAGTAGTGAAGAGATGCGATGCTGTAACGGTAGATGGAAGTGTTAGGGGACAGGATAGGCCTAGATTAACGTTGGTTAGTGTTGTAAATAGAGATATGGATCTACTTAATTTGACTAATGAAATGGCCTTTGATAGGGCCGCGTGGAGAAGAAGGATTCATGTAACCGACCCCATTTGATGAGATTTAAGACTTAGTTTGGTTTTGTTTGGTTTAGTATCTTGGTTCACCATTAGTTGCGTTTAATGTAATGCAGAATTTAGACATGAATTGGATAATTAACCCTTTTGTTTTAATGTTTAATAGAAAAGTTTTAATAACTGATGCTACTACACTATTTTTTATGTGTGCAAGCGTGCTTTCATAACATGTTTTCCTTGTACATGCCTATTATATCAAGCATAGTTCATGGTTCGCCCACTCACTCTTTGTTTCACTTTTCTATTTGCTTTTGAATGGCTTATCATGCCTGTGGTGCTTGTGTAAGTCACATCTAAGGACATCGTTTTTATAGCTAAATTATCGATTTGTCTTTCAGGCAATTGATCCTAGAACTCGCATGGTCTTATTCAAAATGCTAAATCGTGGAGTATTTCATGATATGAATGGATGCATTTCAACTGGGAAAGAAGTATGTAATGCACTAAGACCTTCAAGCTGCTTTTGTCTTAATCATCTTGTGCATCCAAGTTTCTCTTCATTCTGAGTTATTTGTTTAACAGGCAAATGTATATCATGCTACGAAGTCTGATGGTCAGGAACTGGCAATTAAAGTGTACAAAACTTCTGTTCTTGTATTCAAGTATGTTCTATGATCTTTTAAGTTGCAATCACCGTAGCATGTCTTTTTATTTTAGAGCATATTTAAACTCTTTAAGTTTAAGAGATTGACTTGTATGCAGAACTGAAATATCTTAATAGTGTAATCCTGTCTCCACCACTCAAATGGGCATTCTTCATTTGCTTTGTTATTTTTCTTTGAACATACTTGGCATAGATGAGAGACTTTAGAGATTTCTTTTTTTCTCATGTGCTCTTGATTATCTGCCTTTTCGAGTGACATGTCATTTTTGTATGAGAAGAGTTTAGAAATTGACTATATGTAGGTCCAGAAAGCTCATTCAGGATTTTTAATTTATTGTGTTTTGATAAGTTCAAATGTGTTCAAACAGCGGTGTCAGCTGTCCTAGCTGTTGGCTTGGAGTTATCTTATGGAAATTATGGGAGCTGGTCTTCAGGACATCTTTAGATGTTTTTATGTTACATTTCGTTGCCTAGAGGCTTCTATTTTAGTGGAAGTGTTTCCAAAACAATATTCTCTTCTTTCCCCTCCCAAACACACATTAATGTGTACTAATTAGGCGTTGTTTTATGTATTGTTGCTTCTGGTTGTACAATGGGCCTCCTCCTTCATTCTGTATATTATTGGTATTGTCATCACAACTCCAGCTAGCAGCGGAGTACCACTTTCCAGATAGTACATGTCAAGCCTATGTCATACTAACATTTTTTTTTTTTTTTTTTTTTTTGGTTCTAATCTAACAACTTCAGGGACAGAGATCGGTATGTACAAGGTGATTACCGTTTCAGACATGGGTACTGCAGGCACAATCCCAGGAAGATGGTTAAGACATGGGCTGAGAAAGAAATGCGGAACCTTATGAGGTATATTTGTTTGTTTGTATATGCATATAGCTTCAAGCTTTTGGACTATGACCATGCTGGTGAAGTATGAATTGTTTTAAACCCTTTTTCCTTCTATTGTAAATGTCAAAGGACTTATTAATTTTTTAATTTTTTTGATAGTTATTTTTTTTTTCTTGCTTTTAGATTATGTTTACTTACTTTTAGTTATACCAAACCCTAATCATTCTTTATTTATCACAAAAAAAAAAAAAAAAAAGTTCTTTGATTTGCTTTTGCATCTCTTGGGCTTCAAGGCTTTGGGATGTGTTATGCCTGTGAATCCATGTTAGAGCTGTTGAATTCTCTATGCTCTTTTCAATTGTTCACGCTTGCATATGCTCCTTGCTGCAAACCATAGCAGTTTCTCGTTCTTGTCTGAATGCTAAAGGTTGTCTTCTGTTGTTCATTACTTGCAAATGCTTTCCACTAACTTGTTATATTATTTGCTTTCTAACTTTTATGATGACAAACAAAAAGACTATTTTGGTGATCAACAATATTGCAATTAGAGTTCTCATGGAAGAGGGAATGGGTAATAGTGTCAGATTGTCGTTTAGACATGAAATGCATTTCTGGGAAGTATCATCTTAAGTTTGCACTAAACTTCTTCCTTGTACGTTTTCTGGCAAAATTGTTCCTAAGTTTTGATTGGAGTAATAAAAGGCCATCTCATTGTTAAAAATGTTGGTAAAAGATGCCTCTTTATGAAGGAAGCCCCTGGGTTGTACCTTCCATTGGTTATGCCTTGCAATTGCTTGCTTTACTGGTTATTTGAAAAGAGGGGAAGTCCCTGGCTCGTACCTTGCATTAGAGGAATGTGGTTGGCCTATTCCCACAATCAGCAATTTCATAATAATAAGAGTTGTTGGAATAGATGTTGTAGTATATTGTTGTTTAAGACTTCTCTAATGTTTTTCTCATTCTTACTTCAGGTTTACCATTAAAGTTGTTCTTTTAAGTTATAAACTAGTAAGTAAATTTTCAATCTATATTAGGTTTGACTTGTGAAAGTGGTCTATTCAGACAATTTTTTTTTAATTATTTATTTATTTATGGAATCCATCTAGTAATTGCAATAAAGTATTTTCCAAATATTTGTGAGGGAATAGAGCTAGAGGAAATATTCTTGCTGACATTGTCTCGAGTTTGGAGTTTAGCATCTTTTTCTAGTAGCATTTTGGCTTCTTTTGTGGAAAGGGGTGTTGTCTTGGGGTCGCTTGGGAAAATGAAACCTTGGAACTTTTAGTTGTTCTTTTCCAATATGTGGGAGCGGATAAGTTAGAATCCCTAGTTGGGTAAAATATATCAAGATGGATTTGAGCTGATTGGAATATTTTGAAAAGCTACTAGTTATATTGAAATGTTTATCATAACAACTATGGATGAAGGGGTGCAACTTGGGCGGGTTCGATCGGGTTGAGAAGTTGTCTAAGCTTGCCCAATTTGGAGTTGCAACTTGAGGTTGTTCGCCCAAGCCCGACCTAAGGTAGGCTTGAATTGCCCATAAATTTGAGTTTTTTAAGGGGTTTAATTTGTTAAAATTAGACTCTATTATCATTTTTTTTTGATAAAATTGTTAATAATATCAAAATAAATAATTTATATGATGAGAGAGATATGAGTATTGAGGAATCAATGCTCTGTTGCGATGGTCTTTGGCATTTCTGAGTGAGAAAAGAAAAGTGTGCTTTAGAAGAATGCTAGAGACTCACAATTTAGAACTCACAATGACATGACAAGGAAGTTGGGCCTTACATGGTTGAGTTTAGGACAATTCAAAAGTTGACATGAAGCATGCCATGTCATTGTGGGTAGATTGTAGGAGTCTTTTTGAGGGTCTCAATCTTTTTCCGAGGTTTTGTGTTGTGTTATTTGTATATATAATGTACATAGTGAATATGATTTAACGATTCAAATTATTTTTTATCATCTAATGACTAATAATTTACTTGTATATTTAATATTTTTATATATTTATATATACAATTTGAGCTTTGGGTTGCTCGGGTTGTTTGGTGTCTTTGCCCAAGTCCGTCCCGAATTTAATTCAGGCTTCTAAAATTTTTTTTTTTCTGAAGCCTGCACCAAATTCAAAATATGTTGCCCAAACTCTCAAAATTTTCAAGCTAGGCTCAAGTTACTCGAGTTGAGCCTACCCAAGTTGCACCCCTATATGGATGTATTTGAACTTTGAAATTTTTTACCCCTGATATGGTTTCTCTGATTGATGATATGGTTGAAATCAGGGGCTTGGCTTAGCATGTGATTACAAGTAATGATGCTCTCTTAGCGTTGGTCTTTCGTTTTTTATTGTCCTTCTTGCACCTTTATTGGACATCAATAGAATTATCATTTTTCCTAAAAAAACATAAAAAGTTCCTAGAAGGAACTTAATAATACATATATATATCGTGAAATATTTGGATAACCATCAAAAGAGATGTAATTTGAATTTTAATGAGTTTTGGGTCAAAATGCAAATAGGAAAAAGTTTTATCATGTGGAAAGTGTGGTATGCCATGTAATAAACCACATGGTGTGATGAATAGTGGTGAATAGCAAATGTTTTATCACCTATAAATAGGTGAGTTTGCATGGTAATAAAGATATAGAGAAATTGTGTATTATATGTGTGTTCCTTTATTTTTTTTTTCATTGTGGCTCTTTCTTCTTTATTTTCTTTAGTTTTATAATATGTTATCAGCACGAGATTCTAACTAGCTGAGAAGACAAAGCTACTGGGTGGTTGCAGTAAGTATAAATAAATTCTAAAGCTAATTTTATATTTTCTTAATATATTTACGTGATACTATATATTGTTTTGTTAAATTTAGTAAACATGTCAAATTTTTCAAAATTGGAATTCTCAGCTCTTGACATTTCTGGAAAAAATTATTTATCATGGATTCTTGATGTTGAGATTCACCTCGAGGCAATGAATTTTGGAGATACCATAAAACACGAAAATGAAGCATCCTTGTAGCATCGCACAAAGACACTGATATTTATTCGTCATCATCTCCAAGAAGAAGTAAAAAATGAGTATCTCATGGTAAAAGATCCACTAATTTTGTGGAATATTTTGAAGGAGAGATACGAGCACCAGAAAGACCGTAATCCTCCGAAGAGCCCGTTATGATTGGTTGCACCTGAGATTATAAGATTATAAATCAGTTAGTGAGTACAACTTTGCTTTATTTTAAAAAATTTCTCGATTAAAATTATGTGAAGAAAAAATTACTGATGAAGATATGCTTGAAAAAGCATTCTCCACATTTTACGCTGATAATGTACTCTTGCAATAGCAATATAGAGAGCGATCGTCGTTTTTCAAAGTATTCTGAACTGATTTCATGTCTTCTTGTGACTGAACAAACTAATCAATTGTTATTAAGAAAATATCCATCCTGTCCAACTGGTTCTGCTCCATTCCCTGAAGTGAATGAGGTTGCATGTCATAGTCGTGGACGAGGGAGAGGTCATGGTTTTGGACGTGGCCGAGGTAGAAATAATTACTGAATCCGTGGTGGATATGTTTAGAAAAATACCATGCCATTCCACCAAAAGTGGAATAACATGCCATTCTATTAGAAGTGGAATAATTCTAGAACATCATAAGAAAAGAAAAAAGGTTTACAGAATAAACCTCCCAAGAATCATGAAAATACTTGTTATAGACGTGGCTTGGCAAGGCATTGGTCGCATACCTGTCGTACGCCTAAACATATGGTGGATCTTTGTCATATCTCAATAAAAGAAAAAGGAAAATGAATTTAGATGTATTTTACAGATCATTATGAACCCATTGATATTAATCATTTTGATGTTTCTGATTTCCTTGAAGATACTGAAGGAAAAACTGATCATTTATATAACAACCCCAAAATACGTATCAGGAATTATCTTTATATAATTATGGGTTAATGTGCCTTAATTTAATTACATCTGTTTGGATTAAAGAATTATCTGTTGAATTACGACCTTGGAACTAAAATTGCCGACTTTTAAGGGTTTAGAAACCGTAATTGAGTACATGGTTATGCTAATGAGAATTTTTAGAGCCATTTGAGAAAATTAATTGAAAATTTATTTTGTCTGATTCGTTAAGGTATGTTTGGGTAGTTAACTTAGTACTGCAAATTGAAGGCCTTAGAGGCTTCAGAAACCAGAACGGAGTACAAAATTATGATCAGCATGATTTTTGGAGTTATCTGGGAAGTTTAATTGAAATTTGATTTCGTACGATTCGTAAGGGTGTGTTTGGCTCCCTAATTGTGATAAGCTTATATATATATATATATATATATATAAGCTTATCACAATTAGGGAGCCAAACACACCCTTACGAATCGTACGAAATCAAATTTCAATTAAACTTCCCAGACTCAAAGAGAAGAAGGGAGAAAGTGTAGAAATGAAGAGGAAAATCCAAGATTTAGCTTGAATTCACCATGATTATGCAAGAACAAGTGGTATTAAAGGCTTAAGGTAAGATTTCCTCTCTCAATACTTGAAGATCATAAGGTAAAGAGTGAGTTTCAAGGGTTATATATGATTATATGTATGTGTTTTGTTTCATTAAGCAAGAAGATGTTGAATCTTTGTACATAGCATGAATTTATGTTCACAACTTGATTTCTTGTAGAAGTTTTATGGTTCTTAAGAGGCTAAAGAGGATTTCACCATGTAAGTGAGCTTGGAACTCCCAACCATGTATACTTTATGATTTTGTGTTTTGATTCTCAACCTTGTTCTTGTAAATGGGAAATTGAGTATTGTTTTGGAGTTATGATTTTTGATGGAAGCTAAGGATGTGAAATTTAACATGTGTTAAAGAGTTTTGGGCTTTGATTTACATGAAATTGAAGTTTAATTTTGAAAATGAGGGGTTCCAAGTCAAGAAGCCATTTTCGGATTGATTTTTACCCAGTCCTACACGTGTCCTAGGATTTCCCGCACGTGCGGCCAATAGTGTCCCC